CAATCACCCTCACCTATCATCTGGGGCTAGTACAATAGGCCAGAAGTGGCCGCAGTACAAGGGACTTAGTCCCACCCCACTAGCAATAAAAAAAATAGGCGAGGGAATTACAACTATTTTATTATGGCTATGTCATACGAGATAATCCCAACGTTAGATTTTACATGTAATTTCAATGTGTTTCAAAGTAAAAACACAAAGGGCACAAAAAGTATAAGAGTCACAAACGCTACACGTTTATACAAATGAAACCTGAAAGACATTCTTGGACGCAATGAGCACGTTATGCTACACACTCAGTTCCAGCGACAAGTAAAAAGTAAATAAAAAAGTATAGGTATCCCTGTAACAGGCCGTGGAGCCCCATAGGGTTGTGAGACGTCGAGGCTCCCACATTACCTAGATAATCGGCTCATAGATGGCGGCAAGGTTGTCAGCCCTACGCGCCGGCCGCCCTTTACCCCCTAGGAAGATTTCCGGTACTCATTTATGTTAGAGGGTGAGTCGACCCCAGGGCCATAGTGCGGCTGGAAGGATTAGGTCAATTGAAAAAAAAATCCAATTACATCATCGCGACTTGAATCCGCGACCTTCCGGCTTGTAGCATAGTGCCTCAACCAACTACGCTACCGCGTGGCCCTCCAGCGATAAGTGCTTTGATTATTTTGACTAGATGAAGCTGATTCTGTATATAATATAAAATCATTAAGAATACAAACACATCTGCACACTCACAGTTTAAGTGCATACATTCAAAAATGATTGTGTGTTCTTGCATCAACCGGAGCCAACAGTTGCATCGATAAAGGAAAAGGCAAAACAAGAGATCCGATTCTAGAAATGACGGTTATTTGAAGAGCAGATATTCCTGATGTCCTATCAATACATCAGTTTTGCAATATGCACCACAGAGATCGGTAGCGAACAGAATGAAGACTGGTATTTGACACGGGACCCAACGTTGAAATACAAAATCATATACAGGCTCAGCTGTTGCTGTCCTCCACACTATACTCTCCAGATACTCGTGCACTGTGCATTGCCTCCCACTGCAATATTAGGGCAGAAATGGTAGTCTGTGCATTTTATCTACCAGCAACATCATATATTGGTTTACTTCCAGCCTTAATCTCGTTCAAATTTAAATTTAAATAAAAACGTAATTTCTATCATGACGAATTCAACCGCGAGTTTATTTAAGAAAACGAATATCTCTTTGTGTAGGACAAAAGTCTACAAAGACGACAACTGTGGTATGAGTACAGTCTCGGCATGCATTCAAGCCTTCTCGGGCGATCAGCCTTGTAGATGCGGAGTTGGCATCCAACGTTTCAGACACCATTTCGGTCTCCATCATCAGGAGCTGATGTCATGAGTGATGAGTGAGCAGAGTAACAGTCCAGGCAGCACAACAATGTTTGGCTTCGAGCCTCGGAGGGACTAATGATCGTATTTAGTTTCATATTACTGGCACTTAACATTTCTCTCTCTCGAGAAGACAAGTTAAAAGGCAAGGCAAATTTGTTCCAGTTGTTAACTAATTAAGTACTACGCCATAGAGGCGTATGGAGGAGTACACGCATAAATCCATGTATTCTTGGCCTCAACACTAGTTGCAGATGAGAAGTCAGCTTTATGCCTCGGCTGCTTTACCCCCGGGGAAAGAGCTCCCGGTGCCAATTAGATAGGAGCCTGGGTGGGCCCCAAAACCGGTCTGGACGACGTGAAAAGATAAGTCTTGCCCCTACCGGACTTGAACTCCGACTCCTCGGCCGCCCAGCCCGTAGCTACTCGTTATACCGACTGTGTTATCCGGGATCCCAAATTTGTTCCCTGTGCTTAATTAATTAAGCACAACGAAATGAAGACATGGGCTCGTGGACGTATAACTCCACCATTCCTGATGTCAGCAGTAGATGGAAGTGTGTGATCAGCTTCAAGCCCTGGCCGCTTTACCGACTGGGAAATAACTTCCAGTAGCCACTGAAGAGGAGGCTGGGTGGGTCGCAGAGCCAGTCTGGACGCTGTGAATTAGAGAAAAATCTTTTGGCCCTGACAAGAAGAGTGGGTATATCATTAAAAAAGAGTGCCACTTCTACTACACCGTAAAATACCAAACACGCGATTATTTGACAAGCATTTCGTCCGCATGTCATTATTTATGAAGCAGAGTACGGTCTCGGTTGTTCCAGCGCGCACCGCCGAGGGAACAGTGGGGTGAAGTCAGACTGTCATCTTGCTGCTTGTGGCTGTACGTTTCTTAAGCGTACATGACGCCAAGCCGTGGTGAAGGAGATGAAGACAGACTCCGAAACGCTGAACACTAATTCCAAATTGGTCCGTCTTATCTCCCGTAACTTCACTGCATTAACGTGATTATACGAAATTATGTTAAATAAAAATGATAAACGAGAACTTAATTATACTTGTGTATATTATTTTAATGTAAAAAGTTCATCAGCGCAGAAAAACCTGCACTGCAATTTCAGAAATTTTTTTTTTATACATCACGCAATAATCTAACGTAAAAGCTTCTCATTACAATGGTTACTCTAAAACATACTAAGTTCACGTACTTGCGTTACCATGGTTACTATAAATCATACGAAATTTATGTGATCAACGTTGTCACGATTCCGATGCTTTGCTTAAGGAGGACATAATGGAGATTTAAATTGGATTGGACTCGAAGTCATGAACGCAGCAATAAAATTAACAATTGGCTTGTCTCTCCAATGTTTTGTATGACGCTCCATTTGGGAGAAACAAGGTGGAACAGACGGACTTTGGTGATTAGACACACACACATACACTCGCTTTTAACAANAGGGTGCAACAGACGGACTTGGTGATTAGACACACACTCGCTTTTAACAACTTAAGATAGTCGCCGAACAATTCTACCTAATTAGCACACAAAACTTAAAAAAGTCTGCACCCATATCCGAACGACATTACTTCGTCATGAAACGGAACGAAAATAAAGATATAAATATATAAATCGGAAGGCAGTGTTCTAAATTGAATTCTTATGAATCTGTATCATGAAAGGATTTGTGTGAGTAAGCTAGAAGTAATCAGGACAAAGAAATGAATTCCGATGTTAAAAGTGAAACCACTAAGATTAATATAGACATTCACTTACCTTCGAAATTCTGAGGCGAAATCATGGACTTGGACAGCATCCAACAGCATCTGCAATATGGAAAAAAATCATCATTACACAGTTCGAAGAAGAGACGCTAAACGTACTGCATGAAAAAAATAACGGTATATTAAGAGATTGTAATATTTGATACTTTTTACTGTGACAAGGCTCCTACAACAATCATTTACATGAACTGTTAAAAAATAATCTTATGTGGCGTATTTAAAAGATCTATTCGTGTGTTTCAGTAGAACGCGGTAGCGTAGTTCATTAAGGTACTATGCTACAAGCCGAAAGGTTGCGGGTTCGATTCCCGATGTCATTGGATTTTCTTTTCAATTTACCTAATCCTTCCAGCCGCACTATGACCCTGGCGTCGACTCATCCTCTAACAGAAATGAGTACCAGAAATCTTTCTGGGAGATAAAGGGCGACTGGTGGGTGATAACCTTACCGCCGTCTGTGCGCTGATTGTCTAGAAAATGTGGGAGCCTCGACGTCTCACAACCCTATGGGCATCCACGGCCTGTTACAGGGAGAGCGTCACCTATTTGTGTGTTTCAACGAGGAGAATGGAACAATCTATAGAAATTTAATGTGATTATTGTTAACAGAATTCAGGAGTCCCGAAAGCACTGGGGGCATTTTAGACAAGAGGTCAGTAACGTTACACTGTAATGGTTACTCCTCATTATCACTTACTTACTTACTCACTCATGGAGCTGAGCCCTTCTGGAGGAGCCGCCAATTCTGCAGCTACTCAAGAATTTTCCAGCATTTTATGAAACCCGAAGGTTCATTACCGTGTTCACAAGAGCCCTCCACTGGTCCCTATCCTGAGCCAGATCTATCCAATCCATACCATACCATTCTATCACTCTAAGATCCATTCCAATATTGTTCACCCACCTACGCCTTGATCTTCCCTGTGGTTTCTTTCCTCTTGGCTTTCCCACCAATATCCTGTACGTATTCCTCGTCTCCCCCATTCGTGCTACATGACCTGACCACCTCATCCTCTTTGACTTGGATCATTCTAATTATACTTGGAGAAGAGTACAAGTTATGAAACTCCTCATTATGCAGTATTCTCCAACCTCCTGTCACTTCATCTCTCTTCGGTCCAAATATTCCCCTCAAGACCCTGCTCTCAAACAACCTAAGTCTAGGTTCCTCCCTTAATTTCAGAAATAAAGTTTCACACCCATACAGAACCACAGACAAAATCATAATTTTGTATATTCTAATTTTTATGTTTTTGGACAGCAGACGAGAAGACAAAAGGTTCTGGACTGAATGGTAGCAAGCATTACCCGAGTTCAATCTCCTCTTAATTTCCTCCTGAATTAGGTTTCGATCTGTTATCGTTGTTCCCAAATATTTGAACTGTGCCACATTTTCAAAACATAAGTTTCCTATCTTTATGTCATGATTTTGCCCTGTATTTTGGTGACGAGACAGTAACATATACTTAGTTTTCTCTGTGTTTACTTCTAGACCAACCTCATTACTTTCTTACGCTTTATAATGGTCATGGCTTACTTGAACTATACCTTAATCGGTTCCTGGTGACATGGGATCATGAAGCAGGAAATAAGGAATTGCCTAACTTGTTTAATATATGCTGGAAGACAACAGTGACATTAGCGCCTAAAACGTAAAGTTGTCCCCGTGCTTAACCAATTAAGCACAATGAAGGCGGGTGGGAAGTGGATGTATAGATCCACATTTTCTTGACCTTGGCACTAGCTTGATGTGAGTGCTGAGCTTCACGCCCCGGCCGCTTTCACCCGGGGACAGAGCCCGGGTACCCATTGGAAAGAAGGCCGAGTACACCCCAGAGCCGGTATGGACGACGTGGAGAAGAGAAAATTTTTGTCCCTACCGGGACTGGAACTCCGATCGCTCGGTCGTCCAGCCTGTAGCCAGTTGGTATACCGATTGAGCTATCCCGGCTCATGCGACTAGTGTCTACAGCTTTAAATTCCACAATCGACCGTGAAATAGGCAAATGTATAGAAAAAAGTACTGTTGAAATAGTAATAGAGCCTGGTCTTCGAACCTCTCAAATGACGAGCCTGTTACAGTAACAGTAGAGCGCACAGAGTGACAGCTATGTAATTAACTCAGATTTATCGACGAAAAAAACACAAAAATCATTACATAGCCCGTTAATTTGATGTGCCGGTCCAATTAGTTTAAACAGCCCATAAACTATAAAAAATAAAGGGGCTGCGAATATCACATCAATAAACATTGCCAAATAACTACTGAACATCTGACAGTGAATACGTATTACAACAACAACAAAAATTATGTACCAATAAAAATAGAGGAACTTTGAATAAAATCCTACAAACACTTAACTGAAATTAAGCTTTCGTAATCTTCAGCCATAAATGAAATTTCAGACGTATATTAAATGTCAACTCCATCGTATCTCATACGGCTATATAAAGTCTATTAGGATTTCCAACAAATACTTTCTTTTCCGTTACAAAATTATAAACTCGAAGCGAAAATTCCTATTATTCCCCATGAACACATAACGTTCTGGCATACAAAGCAGTACGGGTTTCCAACCCTCGCAATTATTTTGCAAATAACAGAAAAATACAACTTTGTAGGATGGTGTAGAGGTAAACTTGTAGCCTTGAATTCCAGAGATATTCGGTTCGCATCTCAGCTGGGACACCGGCTATCCCCACTGATGTTCTTCACGGTTTCACTTAGGCACTCCATGTAACCGTCGGGACGGAACCGGAGTCCAGCTGTGTCCACTCGGCACGGCGGCCACTGACTGGCCTACTGTAGCCTGCCCCGGTTGATTATGATGATGGAGAACTTGGTGGAATGAAGATTTGCAGGGGAAACCGAAGTACTCCGAGAAAACCCGCCCCAGCGCCACTTTGTACACCACAAATCCCACTTAACCAGACCCGGGATCGAACACGGGTCGTCGCGGTGGGAACCCAGCGACTAACCGCTTGAGCTATGGCGCGGCCTAGCCTTGATTATGCTAAGACCGCTTCCTTTCAAATCCTCTCCAGCTACTTATTCATCAATCATATTACCTTTTGACGTTATGCAATCTGAGAAACTGACAGCCTCGTAAAATATCCCACAAAAGGAGTAAATACGGCCATAATGGCGAGATAAGGACACACCAGGATTGCAAAGCCTTCAAATTATATAAGACCTATGGTAGCTCGGCTAGATAGGAATATTATAGGTCAACGTACTTTGACATTTAGATGCTCAACAAGTAACCATGATTAACGGCCTATCCTTTTCGTATTTAGACATAAATCTCTCGTTTGCTCGTCTATGCGTCTATCGGAAAACCCATCCTATCATGTCCGTCTGTCGACGGTTTTCTGCGAATTACAAAATATGAAANTTGTTTCTATGATTATCAAAAATGTATGATAATTACAAGTGATGAAGACTGAATACATATCCAAATTAGACACATACTCCTTTTGAATGCATGACATATAAGAAGTGTGTACTTAAAAAAAAACAGACCACCTGAAAGAATCATATGCCTATGTCAATATAAGTGCGGTTACACAAATGGCAGGTCTTTGTTTCCATCGTACAGGTCGGACTGAAACGAAACAAAATTTAATTACGAAATTTATAACGGAACAAAACAGATTTCCTAAATTGCTCTCAGATTACAAATTCCGAGGCAGAAGAAACCAAGGACGCCAATGTAGAAGATGGGAGAACCACTTTTGAACCTAAAAGCTGGAACAGGCCTTTACAAGAGCTTAAACAATGAAGCTGCTTCTGATAATGATATAATATTTTATGTGAACGTAATGAAATCGCCTTCAACTTGAAACACTTTCGGGCAAGTACCTACAAATAACTGTTTCCGTTCAACTAATGGAACGTTTATGCAATGACACAGGCTTAAAAAATTGGATATTAATAAATAAAGGACCTTTAACTTGGTTATTCCTTGTTACCAGTTCAATAGATTTTCTCAGTGATGAGGAAACTATTATCAGTGCTGAATATACGTGTACAGCTAAGCCGAAGACTGCTCACTATGCAGATGAACTGCATCGAAATTAACATAGCGCTGCCCTTACTTAAAGTAGACGTAATATTATTTTCACATGTGTAAATTACTAAAAAGAACTACATAAATACTTATCTAGGATTATACGCCGCTTCTCTGGTCGAGAGGTCACAGTTCCTGGCTACAGATCCAGAGATACTGGGTTCGATTCGCGGCTCTACCAGATTTTCTGAGAAATAGTGGGTCTTGAACGGTGTCCACTCGGCTTCGTGAGGATAATTGAGGAGCTATTTCAAGGAAATAGCGGCTCCGGTCTAGAAAACCGAAAATAACGGCCTTGGGGATTCGTTGCGCTGACCACGTGACACCCTCTGTCCGCTAAAGTTGGCACTAACTTCGCCGACAAACGGCGGTCGCTCGGTCGGTATAGATCGCTTGCGGACTAAAACCACAGAGTTTGTTTTATGCAAAAATGCAGTATGATATTAAAAAGAGAGAGTTTTACACAATTTTAAGTTCACACGTAATATAGTCATGACAACCGGTCACGATAGCCGATGGGTATAAGGCATGTACTGTCTTCGCTCGATGGGAAACTGGGATCATGGTTTCGAATCCCAGACAATGTACGGATGTTTGGTGTGTATGCGTTTACTCTGTGTTTGTGTTGTCCCGTGTTCAGGTAGCGACCTTGCGACGAGCGGATCACTCGTCCGAGGAGTCTACGGTCTGCAGAAAATGATCATGAAACTGAGAGAGAGAATCAATAGTCTTGAGAGGTTTCGGTAAGGAGCGGTTCAATGGATTCCGTCTTAACCCTTTTCTATAATCCTTTAACTATTGGTCTCACTCAGCTTAGATTATGTGTGTGTCAGTCACTTAGTTCATTAATAAAACCTTTCCGATTATAATTTATACTAGAGCATATGGAAAACTGTATCCCTGTGCTTAATTAATTGAGAACCAAGCCATAATAACGCAGGTAAAAGTAAAGTCATCCCTATAACAGGCCGT